GAGTAGTAAAATGTCTTCTTAACTGCACCCACCCTTTTTCTTTCTTTTTATATTCAGCGATTCAAGCTTTAAGGACGCCCAAGAAATTATCTTTCACGCCATCGACAATTTTAGGTGCTTTGGTTTCGGGCTTTCTTTTTCTTTTTCCAGTTTTGTTCTTTTTCATATCCAGTTTCTGCTCTGTGTGCTTTAAGCTTTCAATTGTTCCTGTACTTAAACTTTTGGTCGATTATCCTTTGGCTAGGCAGTTGCTTTCTGTATATTTCTCTCCTTTTATTGAATTCTGTTGGATTTCATGTTGTGGGGTTAAGGGTAACAATTGAAATCCCGCATTGTGAAAACATTAAATAACATAAAGAGCTTCGGCAACTCTCTTAACAAGATTGACGTTTCAAGATGGAAACTAATATTCAATAATTGGTGAATGTGTGAAACAAATTTGTATTGGGAAAAAACGACTTGAATTTGTTCGGTGAAATGTGTGGTAGGCACTAGGCAGAGAATGTTAAGCGCCATTTGAACATATGATTTGTTTTATTAAGTAAACTGATATCATTGCTTGTAACACTATACGAGATTTATGTCCTCAAATTTTCAGTTTGTTGATGCATAATAAGTAATGGTTATTATCATGTCAAGTTATTGATCAAAGATTAATTTCTGTTTCTCAAACTAGTTGTATATTGCCCGAGATTTGTTTTTCAATTAGCTTAAGTCATAGTCTTTGATTCTCTTATTTTCGCTTTTCTTACTTTAATTTGCTTCATTCCTTCACGTGGGCAAAATGGTGAACCATGAATATTTGTTAATTTTCCATTTGCAGATTGATTGTTCCTACCTCTTCCACTCATGCCAGATGGCTAATTCTGTTTTAAGATTGTTCCTGAGATTCCCGAGTAGTAATCATTGCAGTTTCACAAAATCTGCTGCTACCTCATGGTGTTATTACAACAGTTTTTATCGAAACTGTTCAGGCTACCTTTTCATGAGAAATTCGAAACCAAGAGGGTGGTCGGTAATCAGAACTAGTACGCGTGAAGCTAAGTTTAAGTTCTCGACTAATTCCTGTTCCAGTTCTTTAAGTAGTAATACCAGTACTTGTGAGAATGATGGTGGCCGAGAGTATCTGATGATGACCGATGATCAACTAATAAGTCAGTGCGAGGTAGATACTTTCAAGGCATCAGGACCGGGAGGACAACACCGTAACAAGCGTGAGTCTGCAGTGCGTCTGAAGCACCTTCCAACCAGTATTATTGCTCAGGTTCATTCAAACATCCTAGAATCTTGAAATCCTTGTTTTGTCATGGTGTTTATGTGTTAATAAACTACAATCAGACAGGCTGTGGAGGATAGATCACAACACAAAAATCGTGCTTCAGCCCTTGCTCGCTTGCGTACGCTTTTAGCTCTTAAAGGTGTGCATAATCTGCTACCTTCTGTCAATTCTCAATGAACCTTATTTTACTTGTAAGGAGAACCAATGCAACTTTTGCTTGAACTTTAAAGTAGTTCCAATTTTTCTTCAAGCTAAAGACTAAAGCAGGATTTTTCTTTTAAGCTAGTGAGGAATACCGTGGATCTTGATGCATACGTACCTCCTCCGGAACTTGTGCAAATTCTGCCTGCAAAATCAACTGTAAGGGGATCATACCAAGGTCCTCAGATTGGACCAAATAACCAGAAATTTGTTATGGTCTGCCTTCTTATCCTTTCTAGCACTTCTTTTGAGTATACTATTTTTATGGTGTTTTATTTATTTCTCACAACCCCGTTTATTCTGCAGGGAATGCAGGCTTTACTTGACCTAATTTTTGCAGTCGAGGGGTCTGTGGCAGATGCTTCAAAGAAGTTAGGGTACATTAAATTGAATTCCTAATCAGTTGTAATGCCAACTGCTAATAGTAACCAAGCTCTTCTCGCACAATGTACTCTTTTTGACTACCAAATTACAGGTTGAGCACTGGGGCGTTATCACGGTTAATTTTATCTGATGATTCTCTTCGAATGGCGGTGAATGAATTAAGGGCTAGTAAGGTAAAACTGAGCATCCGACATCTAGTCATCTACTTTTGTCGATTCATTGGCTCTGCAGTGTGGTACCTGTTTATTGCTGGCTGTATCAGTGGTTTCTGCATTCTGGAAGTGTTGAAAATGAGCTTGAGGGGCTGTGACGAAAAATAATAATTTTATATACGTGTTTTGAGTCTCTCTCTTCCCCTTTAAATAAGATAGTGTTTCATCGTAGTAACTTTTGTGTGAAGGTACAATGCACATATCTCCGTTTAGTCCTTCACATTCTACTCTAACATTACCTTAAAAATAATAGAATCCGTGCATCGCACAGGCCAAAGCTAGTATTGAGAAAATAGACTTTTTCCTTTAAAGAAATGATCCAAATTGACTCAATTTTTTTTATTGGAGAAGGGTAAAATTTTTTGTTACAACTATAAAATAAAACTGAAAAACAGTATTCTTAAATCAAGTCATATGTGAAAAATGAAAATAAACTTTGTCGTCCATTTATTTTATTTCAAATACTTGCAACAATGTTTAACATTTCAAAAGATATAAAATGAAGAAAATGAATAATTTCATACTATAAGATTGGAAATGAAATGAATGGATTTCTACTTACAAATGATTGAAATTTGACTTGTTCATTTCATGTATGTTCATCTTTATTCAATTATTTAAACATGTAACTGTGTTCATTTTTTTATTATTTATAAACAAAAAGTCATTTTGAAATGTACTGAAAAACCATGATTTTTTAAGAAATAAATTAAATTTCATAATTTTATTGAAATATTATTACCACAATTTAAAATATTATTTCTTTTAACTAAATCAATATTCTCATTTAAACCAGAAATATATAAAAAAAATTCTTACATTTTAAAATAATTTTAGTACAATATAAACTATAAAGATCAAATAGTAAGAAATATTTATATTTTGCAATGTGCCCGTGGATTGTTTGTTTGGGAAGTGTTTATAATTGGTTTAAATTATAAATAGATAGAAATAAGTGGTAGATAAATAGGTAGTACTTGTGGGACTTATGGAATGTGTGGATAAAAATTAGTTTGACCACAAGTGTTTATAAATTCACTTGCCAAACAAGCTTTAGTAAAACATCAAATATGATAAAATACCAAGTTTCATGCCATTAAAACCAATGAAGAAAAATGAGCATAGAAGGAACTGCTTAAAAAGGAATATCTCTAAAATGAAGTTCTTGTGGATCCAAAAGAACAATAGAATTAGAATAAAAATAAATTAAGCAATTACCACAAGCATAGATTGATGAAGTACAATATTTGAGGGTTGATTCAAAAATTAGTTTTGAGCACATTCGACTATGTTCAATAAATGTACCTTTTGTCAATGACCAAAAACATGCTCTTTAAAGAAATGATATGATATCTTGTTCATTAACTATCCCTGTTCAAACATGAACAAACATTTCTAGTTGGATCCAAGATTTCAACTAAATGAGGTTGTGATGGTACCTGGGCTTTGTATGTGCAATGTTCATATTTTTATTTGGATGGAATGTGGTTTTGATTTGTAACTTAGCTTAGGGTAATTGTAAAAAGCAAATGACTAGACTAATGGAAATTGCTTTCTGATGGAATTCCGCAGGGTATGAAGCCTCTTAAATAGGAATTGCTGGTAGCAGTCAAAATGTTTCAGGTACTATTTGCTTTTAAACTGTTATTTCCTCTTCTAATGATTATTCATGTGTATTCTATTATTACATCCCGAGATAATGTCTAGGTGGCAACACTTTCCTTAGCAGAGGAAAACAAAGGGCATTTTTTCGATAGCTTCTACCACTGTTTTTTTGTAGAAGAGCTTTATGGGGAAACCACTTTGGATCAACTTTCTCTAAAAGCTCTTCTAACCAGACAAATCACTTTCAAAAAATTATTCAAACAAGCGCAAAAGTAGCTATATAGTCTTAGCAACAGCTTTTGACTTTTCAAAAGCCCGGCCAAACGGGCCATAATAATATTGATGTTTGCTCAAAAAGGGCGAAACAACCATAAAGTTTTGATTTGAACTTTTAACAAATAGCAACGGCAGCTTCTGTCAGGCTACTGACCTTTCCTGAATTTGGGGTTTCAGCAATTGAATATGAAATATTTGAAGTTTAAAGTATTGCACAAAGACACTTGTTTAAGATTTTTTACTTTTTGTTTTCTTATCTTAAATTTCGGATTGGTTGATGAAGTATAAGAATTATCTACTTATGATTGTACTGGAAGATAGATGCAAATTTCAAATGTATGGTTGTGAAGAAAATGTTGATAACATATATTTTTTGAACAAAGGATTTGTCTGTTGATGTTTTACTCGAATTGGTATGAAAATTGAAATATCATTAAATTATAAGTGAGCTAATATCCTTGAATTCGTAGGTATATCTGTCGTTTCTGATTACCACATAAGCGCTAGATAGACGCTGAGTTTTGTGAAGGTGAGAGTTCTTGAAATGCCAACAACAACCGAGTCGTGTCTATAACAACTTTTTTTTTCTTTCTTACATATACATGCCTTCAATTATTGTTGTTATTCCTGTTCTCAGAACAAAAACACTTGTTTGATACCTGCAGGAAGTTGACATGAATTCCCTCGTAAACGTCGTTTTCAAAGTTGAAGTAAACGAAGTGGATCGTATTTTTTTCGGTTTGTTATTATTCTCCACAAGCGCATCAGAGATTTACAACACACTGTTTAGGAATGTAACTGAGAGAAACAGTCGGAAGGAAATAGGTTCAACTTTTCCTAGTTGACTCCTTTTCCATCTCTAGTTGATTAGTACTTTTTCCATAAGATCATCTTAAATCAATACTGTACAGCATAATGAATTTGACATGATGTTGGGCATGGTGACATTGATTTAAATGAAAAGGATATATTCATTTGTTAAAATTTCTTGGTTGTATTGGTGTTTTCAGTAAAACTACAGGCTTATTATAAAAAGAAATAGAGTTGTAAAGCGGGCAAGTTGCCTTTGGTGAGGTTCAGCGTGGCCAGCCTATTGGTCCATGCCCGGCCTCTCATTTTCATGCCAGGCCAGACTGGCCGAGCTGGTGCAGGAAAATGCGATGCGCCGACTCCATAAGCCCCCATACCTCTATTTGATCAATATCCAACCGTTATTTGTTCATGATCCCATGAAAACGACTCTACTAAGCCACAGGTTAGCAAAATCATTCTTAACGAATAACGAGTTCACAATAAATAGGTTGAGAAGAAACTGTGCCCTATTGGCTCATGGGTCGAACGCCTTACCATCACCACCCGTTCCTCCTAGAATAAGCAACTCATTTCAGAAATAGGTTGTTTTCCGTGCAAAAAAACACTTGCTACTGTAAAACAAAGACTATGCTTACTATCTTACATTAACCTCATACACAAGTGAACTACAGAGTGCATAGATCTCAAGGCTAATAACATCTCAAACGTTGCATAAGATGCATAAAACAATATTTACAGTACTCTTCTGAACACGAGTGTGCAAAAACTAAGACTATACATCATCATCATCACCACCACCACCACCACTAGTATCCTCCTTGTATATACGCATTCAATCGGTTCAACTCATCACGATGCTCGCTCACCACAGCACGAACAACGTCTCCAATCGATACCATGCCAATCATTCCACTGTCATTAATCACTGGAATGTGCCTGATACGGTTATCTGCAAATCCGAGGAGAAAAGTAAATCGGCCCTTAGATCAAATATCAATTGCCTGCTTTTTGATTCTTAACTATTTTTCCTAATTTTGGAAATCATTGGTTCTCAACAGCATCTGAGTCTCAAAATCGTTAGCACCAATTACATATTGGTGAAGAAAATCTAACCTCATAAAGTTGGACGAATAAAGGGAACGTGACAACTAAACAGAGATTTCAACGGTTTTTGCCATCGATAACTGATTATGCTACAGTAATGAAAGGAGATCAGACATCAACTAGCTACTCAAGCAATAGGTTGCGAACCAATAGTGCAATTTTCCCTTCACTTTTTATGTCTTAAAATGAGGAGAGTTGTACCTGTCATTAGTTGCATTGCCATCAAAACTTTGGTTTCTGGCGTCACTGTAATAAGCTTATTCTGCAATCAGATAACAGTGTTTCAAAATCTCTTGCACTTCAGTCCAACGACAGGCACATAAAGGACCAAATTCCAGCAGTGAAAATAAAATATTTTCAAAAAATTCCATTGAAAGTATACCTCTTCAGTCATAATGTCTCCAACCTTCGTCGACTTTGATGACCTTCCCTGTACGATTATTTTCCTGAGATAATCTGGACTAACAAAATATTGTCAAAAGGCGGTAATACAGACTATACGCTTCTTAAACCAAATATCGGTTAAAGTTTGTAAAGATTTACTTTCATAAAAAACTCAAATTTGCAAGTATTTTCTGTTCCATCTGTTTAAGCAAAGCACTGACGTAAGGCATTGGATTGCTCGTATGGAATATATAATCTTATGTGGAAGTAACTTGGGGTGTTAACAATTTCAAAAGTACTACAGAAGTGCATCTACCTCTTTCAGTGATGATTCCAGCAATCGACTTCTGCTCCCCCGGTTTGACAACCACCAATGCTCCAACATTGTGCTGTGTCATCTGCAGCGGACGTAATACAGGAATCCTCAGATTAAGTTAGTGTCACTTTTCAAAGGAACGTGTAATGTCATTCATTAAGCTATATTCGCTTCTTACGACAGTAATAATAAACAGAATGAATTCAAAAACAAGCAAAGCAAACAAACAGATTTAAAATTATTCACCCTCAACCTGAGAACTATGTCCACTTGCACACACAAAACCGACCCACCCCCTAAAATCCTTTCTATGTAAGGCAACCTAACACATATATGAAATAGTCATATACTCATGATAAAAACTTTGCAGTATCAGGTTCTACACAGTCAACAAGAGAAAGGCATCAAGAAAAGTACGAATCTGATGCCTTACCGACTTCACTGCATCATACACAGTATCATCAGTTGTGCACCAGAGCCAGGATCCATCTGCATTTTTCCCTTTAGCTTTCAAAATGTCAGCAATTTTGGTGCTCTCAAAACCATGCTCTTCTATATGAGCAGCCGAAACTGTCTCGTGACGTACAAACATAAGAGGCCGCATGGCTGGAGTCACTAAACGCACATGTTTCAGAACAGCATTCTTGAGCACATTCCCGTGTGAGAAGATTGCTTGTATTCCTCCTTGCATTTTGCCTAAACAGAAAGAACATAATTAAGTAAACATCAAGTTGATTCGATTCCCTTGATATGATAAATAAACCAACTCTTTAGCAAATGACCGTCACATACAATTTCAAGCAACTATCAAAATACAACATACACTGACTTGATAAACTATTTGATCTAACTTCAGCCAAAATGGATTTTAAAGACCCAAAATTTGTTAACTGAAAGAAGAAAATTATGTGGTATCAACTATCAACAAAGAGACTCATTTCAATAATGCCGAGTATCACTAAGAACCCTTAGACAAACCATTGGTACAGAATATTTAAACACTAATATTTCTATCCCTGTAACTCTTAATTAGCTATAAAATCAGTATTCCTTCCACTCCCAGACGGACATTAAAATTCCATCATCTTCACTTGTATTGCAAATATCAGAGCACTAGTTTTCATGCAAAACAGACTTGAGCACATTACTGATCAGCCCATGTTCGGTTCAACTAAAAAATCTGAGTAAAACCTAGGTCAACAACTAATTTAACCACATAAGAGCCACAACTTTTCAACTATACATTCCATCAATTTTTATCAAAACTTTCGAAAAATCTGGGTTTTATCTAAAGCAAACATGACTAGTGAAAACAGATAACAGCATCCAATAATCAACGAGTGTTGTGAATTAAGCCTGATTGCTACTTTTGAGAGGAAGAATAATAATCAGAAAACGAACAAATCACACATAGATTTATAGTGTTTTGTCAACAATGCAACTTCATAAAAGCAAAATCAAACAAATTTATTGAACGTCTGTCATAAATGTAAGTAAACCACTTCTAATAATCAAAATTGCAGAACTTGAACCATCCAACTATTTGATATCCAAAACATTGAATCATCACTTCTTGAACCCATATATAAGAATCAAAGACTTCCATATCAGAAAACTGCAAATAATTTTTCAAGAATCCAATGACCCTTTGTTCCTTCACAACTTTGTCACACACATCTATGAACAAAACGAGCTTACCTGGGTTTATTTTCTTGAATTTGCTTCTACTTCCTGGAGAGTAAAGAGGTCACAAAAAATATGAACTTTTTTTTTTCTTTTCTTTTCAAGGTTAAAATATGCCCCCTTGTGGCCAACTTTATCCACTTGCAATTTGTTCATCCAATTTGGCACTCTGATTTATGTAGATATTGGCCTCTGTCACTTCGAAGGACAATCTTTGTCTGTGTCTGAATAATAATGCATTTGATACCTTTTCCTATTCGTGGATTTTAGTGTATATTCTTATATGTAGGACTAAAAGAAGAATTAATCAAAATAAAGATAAGGATGGGATCAGTACGAGAAATTAGGAAAGGAGGTTAGAACTTGTCTGTAGACTTCGGTAATAAATTGATGGGTTTTCCCACTTACTAATGCTTCATTTATTAAATAAATTAATTTGCTACTCCAACTTCCGTGGGTCCCGTAGTCCATTTCCTCATTATCACATTGAAATTAACTTGAGAAAATGATGTTTTATAGATATATCAATTCCCCATATCTAACTCTGTTTGATGGAGATTAAAATCAAATTTTTAATAAATTTTAATAACAATTGATGAAATATATGATTAAAAAATTGTGAATTTCATAAAATATGTTATTAAAATTAAATATTGATTTTAACTAAAAATTTTAATAAAATTTTAATTCAAGTCAAACGGGACTTCATATAGGCATTTTCAAAAGTATACGTTATCCATGTAAATTGAACAAAGGTATACAGAAAAATTTTAAATTTGACAATTAAAAGGATATTCTAAGGACACATTTCGTAGGATAATCGGAAGTAGATTTCATATTAAACTCTTCTACAAAAAGCAAAAACCTACCGAACAAGTCCTATCTATTTCTTGATTTCTCACTCCGTGAGGACATCCTACATCCCTTTGTGACAAAAACATTCAATACGAGCAATATTCATAACCCCATTTGAACAATTTATGCACAACATGGATCAAATCTTGCAACCCTAAGTACCCATTTGAGCTCCAACAACATAAGCAAACATTTTTTTCTTTTTCACTTTAAAGACTTCATTAAACAAACTCCTCAATAGAATGTCCATTTAGCAATACTTGAAAGCAAGACAAACTGCGAAACGCCTGTCCAAGGAATACAGATTCACTTCGAAAAAGAAGAAATAAAAGGCAAAGTTGTTGCCTCCCATCTGTAACAGTGAAAATATTGGAACGATCCATCAAAAGTGAAAGAAAAGAAATTCAAAATGTTATCATGGCTTCTCTCATTACTCCATGGCTTTTACCCTTTAAAATAATACTCTCAACAAAGCAGAAATACGTATAATAAATATGTAAGGCAACTTCTTATTTATGCACCCATAACAAATTAATAGATATCCCTTTTCTGTAATATAATAAAATCTACAGTTCTGCAGGAGAATCTAACAAATCTTTCCAATTTGCAAAATCAACTACAGGTGAGTCTAAACACGTTGTAGCAGAGCTGTGCTGTCCTCGAAAAAAGTACAAAAACCGATTCTCTCTTACTCATCACAAGCGGAGACAAATTCCCTCATAAAGATGCTCTTCCAACAATAAGCTTATATTGAAAATATAAAATGGCTAGGCGTTCTAATTTATTCTCCCACCGTCAGTCCGAACCCAAACTTGTAATCTTTCTTCCGATGATCTATCTGCAGGACATAGTTGTTGTACACGAAACGAAATAAAGTGAGAATTTGATACTAGAAAAATAAAAACTCTTCAGGTTCATGGCACAATATCATCTACAAGGTAAGGAATCAAGCAACTCATTCTCAGGTAAATGACCTACAAATATGAGGTTGCAAGTACATGTGCAGATTGCCTAATTAATTATACAAAGAACCCAGTATTACTTCTGCACTTTAAGAATGAAATTAATTGATCTATAAATAAAAGGATGCCGAAATGCAAAGAGAGCAAGGAAAGATTGGTTGTACGAAGACACCCTCTTTCTTCTCAAGGTAAGATAAAGGACATGCATGCTGGGCAGGTCGAAATAAGTCGCTAGTCGAAGGTCTAGAAAATTGCAATTCATCACCACGTTGCCCACTTTCAATTTACGATTTGCTATTATATAACCGTTGACTTCCAGTTTTTGGAGAAAAAAATTAAATGGGAATACAGTTCAGTGCTGTGAATTAGACAGAAGTATCTTCTAATGAGTTGATACATACCTCTGCAGAAAGAATAAAATTGAGACCCATGTTTAATCGCTCTTCCAGAAGAGCAGCCACACAACCATTAGAATCAATCTTTCCTCTTAGACGACACTGTCAGATAAATGAGAAAAATTGGTCATACAATTGGTAGCACAACAAGGACTCAGAATCAGTCGATATCAAAGAACTAGTCCAGAAAATTGGGATTGATACATTCCAAATGACCAAATGCACGATGAAAATGATGTTTACTAAGGAAGCAATTGAATCTCCTTACCGTATATCATATCTGAAGTACATAACAAGGTAAAATATTTTCTTAAAGAAAAAAATAATCCATCAGAATGGAAAATTCCCAGAGTTCTAACAAAAAACATAGTGGAGATTAACTTTTACATTTTTAAGTTTGACTATTTCATATGTCATGGATGAGAATACTTGTCAAATTACATCAATGCTATATTTTACATTATCTGACCACATTACTGTCTCATTCACAATACGTCAGATCACATAAACTAAGATGAGTGATGATAGACTGATATAAGAGGTACGGAACTCCACAAAACATGCAGATTGGAAGTTACCTGCCGAAGGATGTAATCATAACCAAAGCTGGCTGTAACATCTCTAGACATATAGTTGTACATGAAGTCTGAAGCTAGAGAAACCTACATGTAAGAGAACCACCAAATAACTGATCAGAAAAGTTGAAAAAGGAATTGAACAAATTGAATATAACACATACGAAACTACATAACATCTTACAAACTGTTAACTGTTTCACCTTATCAGATACTTTCTGAACATAGCTTAGAGCAACCATACCAGTGCTAGCAACTTGTCCAGTTGCCACCTGCATGTCAAACAACAAATACAATTACACATCAAAAACTGGTCAAGTGTGGTGAAACAAAAGCATTCGCATCAAAATTGAACTATTCGATGGTCTAAGTAAAACAATCCAAGTACACACTTCTTCCCCTTTGAATGTGCAACTAAAGAAGAAATGAAAACTATATTTGCAACGAAGAGGAACACCAACTGATTGAGATCAGGTATAAACATTAAGCGGAATACAAAAAATATTTGAGATGACATAAAATTTTGGGCACGTCTCTTAACAGAAAGACAAGAAACTGTACCATCTTGTCTGTGTTATAGCGGGCAGCATATCCAATACCAGACTTTCGATGTTGACCGGCCCAGAAGACCTCACCACCCAATGATAAATGAGGGCTCACGCTCTGCAAGTGTACATCAAATTCCATTGATGATTGATATCTCAAACATAAAAGCTCCAACATTATTCAAAAGAATCAAACTACCAACAGAAAAATAATAATAATAAAAAATATATATATAAAAAAAAGGCAAAAGAGTGAAATTCATATACGGTTCGTAACATGCATCTCATAAAAAGTTGGCTAGGCAACCGACCCTACAAAATAATTGCGACTAAGAGCCTGTTCGATTCTCATTAATTGGGAAAAAAATGAGTTTTGAATAGTATTTTTAGGAGAATATGTGGTTAAAATATAAGGAAAAATTTTAATATACGTGCAAAATATTTTATTATATGAATGAGCAAACCATAAAATAAATTACTAGGTGTCAAATAGGCACTAAATATAAAATCCAGAAGATGACAACACAAACTGGGGGTGAGCAAGGTCCAATTTTGAAGATAATTAAATCAAACCGAGAACCAATGAAAATATTATAATGGAACCATCGGTTCCAAAGTAATTATGGAACCGAACAGAACGAACCACTCGGTTCCATAATGATAATGAGAGAATTTACATTTAATATAGACTAAAGTTATATAAATCACTGAACTAAACATTTTAATAGTTCAGTTCATTTCGAATTTTCTGTTCCGGGTACTAGAATCGAGAACCAAAACAAACCTATCAGTTCTTGGTTCTAGTAACCGGAAGGTCGAAACTATTTAAAACTTAAAGTAGTTCCAGCCGATTCGGTCTGATCCGGTCAGGTCCCAATCCTACACTTTTGTTAGCAATTTATCAAAAGTGCCAACAAATATTTAGCATGACAATGAAGTAACTACCAACAACCAACTTTCTTCTCTAGTTTTGAATTAGTAATGCATGAAAAAGCAGCGTTTCATGACAATCTTCCAGAGTTATTTACATTATAAAAATCTGTTTCCAATCCCTTGATCTAGGAGGCAAGACAGGTTATGGAACACTTTAGAATTCCTGTAGCACTTCATCATTTCATCCAAGTTACTCTAACCTATGCATTACATCCCCAATATCTTTGGAATTCATTTATTTTTCTCACGGGTGGCTAGCTAAGGTATTGGTGCATTTCATATAACAGGCTTGCGTAATCTTGCAATATGGTGTAAATCCTTATGGACTAGTGGGAAAAGAACCCGGCATGCTTACGCAAATATGTCGTCTGCTTCACCTGAATACTCGGTACAATTCAATCTCTCAAAAAACTATCATTCACATAGCAGGTCATAGAGGTCTGCAAATTGTACTTACATACACTATAAAGCCAATAAGTACATATTTCCATAAATAGAATCTCCAGTTTTCTAGTGCATGTACAAGTATTGAACATGAAATCAATTACCTGGATGTAACTTGCACCAAATAAGGCTCCATTTCCTAATTGAAATTGAGTCCTATAATCCGATCCCTGTACAAAAGTTAAAATGGAGATACAATGAGCTCCTAATTTGTCATTTCAAATGTTACAATGGCATCAGTTGCGGTCAACTGTGTGGTGTATGATGCTGCATGCCAGCTGGACATACCCATATAGAAGTACATTACTGACTACGTAGATACAGGGTTTCGCAATAACTGCATAAATCCCCGAAATGCATCCAAACAACCACGTGCTCTCACTTTTGAAGAAGTTAAAATGCTAACCTTATAATCAAAATTGACCATGCCATGTGACATATGGGGCTCATGTGTAAGCTACAGAAGAAATGAACAGATGTCACCAGCTTTTGAACAGTTGTGAATGGAAAAAGATCATTGACTAATTGACAAATAGAATATTGTACTTGAGCATTGCCCTTCAAAGTAAGATTCTCGGTCAAATCACACTTCAATCTTGCATTCAGTCTCCCGTCAGTCAATAACCTCCCAAAAAGCATCAACTGCCAAGAACAAAGAGTGCTCCCATGTGTGAATGAAGCCAACACGTAAATGCAAAGAATAGTTTAAGGGAAAATATAAAAACCTTTGGGTCTATGAAGTTAGCACCAAACTCATAGTGAGCAGTGGGAATTTTAATTGTTTCAGATGACTGAGAAGGAATTTCTGTAGGGCCCATCATCACGCTGATGAACAGTAAACAGGCATGTCCAATAATCATTAAGAGAAGGATAAGGCAACCCCACCCAAAAAGAATAAGAATAAAAAAGGAACAAAAATACAAGTAAAAAAATAATATAGTAGCAGGAAATTACCTGTGACTCAATGAAAATTTCTGATTGAGTCCTTTAGTAAAATCAAAACGCATCCCTTCAAAAAGTTCTGGCTTCAGAGACACTGCCGATTACATCCAATACAATTAGCATTTCACCAATTGAATCTAACTGAATCAAAATTTCATATAACTTATTTAACATGTTAGCTGTCTGATGAGAATTTTTGAAACACGAGATATAGTTCATTCTAAATCAAGGGATAATATACCATTCTGAAATCAATCAATGGTTATTTTTCATTAGAGGGGGTCCAAAGTTAATATCTGATGATACCTAAGAGACTACGAAACAGAGATAACAAAAGGCCAAGTAAATATATGCATAACCTAAATTACAAAGCCATTGTTGTACTTTTAACTCCTTT